GCTTCATTTTCCTGTGTCTGGGGGTATGTCTACACTACCCTCCTAGTTTGAACTAGCGGGGTAATGTAGGCATACCGCACTTGCAAATGAAGCCCAGGATTTGAATTTCCCGGGCTTCATTTGCATAAGCGGGGAGCCACCATTTTTAAATCCCCGCTGGTTCGAACCCCATGTAGCGCGGCTACATGGGGCTCGAACTAGGTAGTTCGGACTAGCTTCCTATTCCGAACTACCGGTACATCTCGTTCAGGCTGAGCTGAGCTTTTTTATTGTCTCTGGGGTCTGTCAGTCTCAGGGCCCTGATTTCTCATGGACCCTTCCCCTTTTGATACTGGGGAGCTGACCAACCAAAAACTCCCACAGAGTTTTAGTAAGGGGCTAACAGTTCCCTTACACCTAGGTAAAGCCAAGCTTGGTCAGAAAGTCTAAGCCAGAATTTCTCAAATGCAACCCCTGTGGCTACATGCAGCCACCAGGGGCTTTTCTTGTGGCCACAGCATCCTTGGCACTGATTGGGTGCATGTGTGTGGGGGTGGGGGGAAGCCACAGCCCCTCCCCCTGACCCGTTACCAGGGGTTGGGCCTTGCTCCTCTCTGGAGCTAGCAGCCAGTGGGTTCCTCACCTTCCTGGAGACATGAACATACAAGTATCACTTTTCACAGCAGCAGACTTACTAGCTAGCAAGCCTAAAAAATAGCGACCAAAACAGCAAAAAAAAAAAAAAAGCAACAAAAAAGATAAGAACATGCAAAGAATCTTACTTGTGCTTTTATTCTGTTTAGGTCCACTCAAAAATAGAGACAACTGTACATAATTTTTATTATTGGGTCTATAAAAATCCTGCATACATAAATTACAGTGATTTGTACAAGGACATGTGCATATTAACTGGGTTTTCCAAAAGTTAGTTAAGTATTCTAGGAAAATTTGTCAGAGTGGCCACCAGCAAGAGTTGGTAGCTATTTTCTGAAGTCACCAAAAATTTGTTGCGAGACTCCCTGGCTAAGCTATTCTTTGTTTGCTTATTGTTGATATTTTGGTAAGTGGAATCTAGTCTCAGGAAAGGGGTGAATTTGGTTTTATATATAGTATATGGACTGTATTTTTTTTTAAAAGTGGGTTGGAAAATATGTCTGTTCACAATAAGCAACTGTAAACTGTGATGTGAAGCCAGATCATGCTATTCCCTCGTATTGAAACAGAAACCCAGTGTTTGTTTCCCTCGAGAAAGACCCCTGGATCTCTGTTAATTCACTTGTCACAAGATTTTAGGACATTTTATGTAGTTCTTTGATTTCCTTACTATTCAAAAACTGAAAGATGAAAATAGTGGCCCCAGCAGTATGGGAAAGAAATTCCAGTTCTCAGTGTCCAGGGTGGGAATTTCTCTTAGAACCCCTCCCTACCCAGAAAAAATTATTTCAATAGGCACAATTTTAAGTTTAGATGCACAGACCTGATATATGTTAGCTTCAGTGGGATCTCTGCTAGGAGATTTGTCTCCATTTGCTACCTAAAAGTAAACAGCAAATGTGACTCATTATGTACAAAGTCCATGCATTTATAAGATTTGATCTTTGGGTTTAGAAAGTCATATGTTTGTTTATTGCCAAAGAACAGTATAGCCTATAATGAAGCCACACTTCCTCATTCCTCCTGCCTTTTTAAAAAAATATAAATTGCTCCAAGTCTTCGGGACACACATTATTTTGTAGCTTTCTTCTGCTTATTAATGTGTTTGATCTTTTCTGCAGTGCTAAGCTAAAATTAATATTAGAAGACATTACGTTTTGTATTTGATTTTTTATTTTACACGAGTAAAGCAGTTGCCAGTTACCATCACTGAATTGTAGCATTAAGGTATGAAGCCAACAAAGCAGTTAAGCACCTTGGTATTTCCTCTATATTAATCAGTGCCCTGATCCAGCAAAATTATTTCAGTGGGACTTCTCACACTTACCTTAAGTGTCCAGGTTAAGAACTTTGTTGGACTGGGGCATAAATGTGCCTAGAACAATGATACTGTAAAAGGGGAAAGTGGTAGCATTCTCCCAACAACAGGCAGGCAGCATAACTACACTCTCCTTTTTTCCCATGCATAGGCCTAAGTCTAGAAAAAGGTCAATCTCACACATGCCAGAGCAATGCATTACAACTGTACTGTGCCAATAAGCAGGTCTTGTCTTGCCTTCTAGTCTCCTCTTTTATATCCTTGTTTTGGCTGCCTGACAGTACCTCAGCTGATTTCAGCACTCCATATGTAAGATGGCATCTCACCTCCTGTGCCTTCACTCTTCTTACACACTTCTTCTCGCCTGTTTGCTTTTCTGAAGTTTGTACTTGTATGTGAGGCAGGTGGATGCTATTTGTATTGCGATTGGTTCTTTCCTTTGTTTTCGTTCTCTTGCTAATTTTTTCTGTCACTGCTCCTTGTGTCTGTTTTTTGTCTTATCACTTTGTCCTCTGCTTCCTCCTACACCAGTTCTTGAGTCCATAGGAAAATACTGTCCAGGAAAGTTTCTCATGTGTGTGCTTCAGTCTTTTACTCACCCTATTGTGGGTTCAGGTTGGACCTCCCTGGTCCGGCAACCTCAGAACCTGATCGGTCTCAGGTAAGGGATTTTGCTGGACTAGAGGAGATCATTTCTCAGCCCCCCCGCCCATCCCACTGGCCTCCCGGCTGGTTCCTCACCTACTCCTGGCCACACTGCCCTGCTGACCCCGCTGGCAGCCATCACTGCCCTGGCTCTGGGACCTGCTGGGCAGCCACATGGATTGCGCTAGGGCTCTAGGACCCGCCAGGCAGCCGCATGCTGTAGATCCCTGCCCCACCAAGCTACCGCAGCACCCAGCCATGTGCGTGTCTCCCAACACTGCTGGGCAGACCTGCTGCCATGTGCTGATGGTGGGTTCTCTATGGGCATCCCACTGCCCAGCAAGCTTTGTGGGATCCTTGCCACTGGCCCTCCACTGGAACTCTCTGGTCCTGCAACATTTGCGCCACACCATGGATGTTGCCGGACCAGAGAGTCCTGGCTAAGAGAGCTTCAAACTATACCTTTCTCTGCAGAGCTTCCTGTCATGTACCATTACAGAGACAGGAGCAAGTTTCCAAAAGAGAGGAGGGCTGTAATGTTGATGGACTAATGAGCCTGTAAGGATAGTGTTACTCTGCAGGCTGAAGCTGTGGATGACCTCTCCAAGGAAGGTAGTGTGGGCCCAGGTAGAATTATAGGTAGCATGAAAATTATTTTGGTAGGGACCTCTTATAAAATTCTGATCTGGGTCTGAACTCTGATTTCAAACACCCCCTCTCAAATCTAACAAATAGAAATCAGATATTTGTTTTGGTCTTCGTGTCTGCACAGCTGCAGAGTTGATCCTAGAGACATGATGACTGTACAGTTTTATTTGATGCCCCTTTGCCAGTAATGGCATTTCTGTGGCCCAAATGCTGGCCCCAAGGGTTGCAAAAACTACAAAGACAATTTATCTTTTTTGCATCAGAAGAAGGGAAGGGAATGCAGAAAAGTGCCTCAGTAGTCTGGAGGTGAGCAGGAAAATTCTTGGTGAGGTAAGGGAAAACAAGATTAAAGAAACTAAAAGACCCCCTTCTTTGTCTCTCAGGCCTCCTCTCAATTAAGCAATTATTGCATCTCCTTACAAGTGTCTGACACACAATGACTCACTATCTGTTTTAAACACAGCAGATTACATTCCTCCCACCTGTAACTTCAGTGACTTAAGTAGAACTATTCCAGGGTTGAATTTGGCCCTGTTGGATTTACAATGCCTTATTTAACTATTAAGACAAATCTATATTTATTTAATGTAAGGTAACCGTGTTTCTTTCTGCTCTTCTTTCCATCTAAAATCAATCCAAGACAATTATGCCTCCCATTTCCAGTCTCACACCCCTACCAGACACACATCTCCAGGTATGCCATGTTCCCAACCTTTAAATCACCAGAAGACCGAGACACTGGCATCCAAGCAAGCAGCCACCGGCCTTTTCATCCCAACGTCCCTACAAAGCCTTATGATGTGATTGTTTTGAGAAAGACCAAAGGTAAAGCAGCAGTGGGCAATTGTTTGGTGTTCTCAGAAGTTTGTGATGTTGTGGAAAGGAAGGCGGTGTGCAAAAATAGCAACGGAGCTAAGCAGACTGGCTTAAGCAGGAGTCTCAAGTGCTGGTATCAAGCATGCTGCTATCATGGCCCTCAAATTCCAGCAGAGGTGAAGCATATAATTTAGTGTACAATGCCCTCCAGGTATGGGAATAATTATTGCTAGTAACAGGGCTAGAAAAAGCCATGGCAAGAATCAAAAGTTTGTAAATCCTGGGCCCAATAAATTCATCCCAAAGTAGCTCCATTGACCATAAGAGTTACACCAGGGATGAAACCCAGGTGTTTACAAATGGCAGAATGTGCACTGTGAAGTCATGGGGTACAAAAACATGCAGCAAACATTTCCACACCCCTTGTGCTCTGAGAACTCATCTATACTTGCAGCGCTGTGCTACTATGGTGTTTAGTGAAGAGGCTGCCTACACCAAAGGCTACATCTACACTGGCCACAATTTCCGGAAAAGGGATGCAAATCAGGTAAGTCAGGATAGGGAAATCCGCGGGGGATTTAAATATCCCCCGTGGATTTAAATAAACATGTCCGCCGCTTTTTTCGAAGTAGGAATAAGAGATCCTCCGGAAAAGGGCTTTATTCCGGAGGATCGCGCAAGTCTAGATGCTTTTTTTCCGGCTTTTCCCCAAGCTGGAAAAAAGCGGAGGACATGTTTATTTAAATCCACGGGGGATATTTAAATCCCCCGCGGATTTCCCTATCCTGACTTACCTGATTTGCATCCCTTTTCCGGAAATTGTGGCCAGTGTAGACGTAGCCCAACAGTGGAGCTTCTCCCATTGGCATAGATACTCCACTTCCCTGAGAGGCAGGAGCTGCTATGTCACACCCGTGAGTGATGTAATTATAGAGATATAATTTGTAGCTTAGACCAGGGCTCAATTGCCCCAGACTCGTGCTCAGCTACTTCACTGATCAGCAGCATTCAATTCCACCTTTGGAAGTGGTTTTATGGGCAGAGGACCAATCTTACAATTCATCAGATCTTACTTATCCTACAGTATTTTGTGGTGTTGTTTACTGCTTGTAAAACTACACAGAAAGAATGCAGAGTCTTGCAAAATTGGTGCTGATTTGCATTAAACGAGAGCCCTTGCAATAAAACCCACCCCAGAGAGGATGATTTGTGGTACAAACCTCTGCCCCCAGTGAACTTCTCTCTCTCTGGCTGTATCTGATGCATATTATTAATTATTATTATTGTTAGCCTATTCATTGTTGTTTTTTCTGATCCATTTAGGTAATCCATATAGACATGAAGTCATCAACATTCCATATGATTCCCAGAAGGAGGCCTTGCATTGGCCAGGACAACATACATACTTTCATGTAGGTAACTGTTGCTGTGATTAAGAAAATTCATATTTTTTATCACACATGTAGGAGGAGGAATTTCTTGTGCTAGATTAACAAAATGGCCAATGGCCAGTGAGACACTGCTTTGCAGCTCTCACCACCAGAGTGACCACCACCAGACAATCTGTATAGTTGCAGATACTCTCTGACTTTGCCCTTGTCCTATCCCCACTCTGCCTTACAGAGAGTCTCTCTCTTCTCCCTGCAGAACTGGTCTCCATGTTTTGCAATACGTGCACATCCTGTCCACAAATCTCTGAATCTAGCTCTGCTTTATCATCTGAAGCACACTGGTTCCATTGCCAGGGGTCCTGCATGAACACAGAACGAATGGATGGCTTTGACCCTAAACATATAGCTCTCCCCCCCCCTTAAAAGCCAATTTTTGTCTTCGGATGAATAGAAAGAGGAGGTCTCTGCTCAGCCTAAATTAGATGAAAAACATACCTAGGAAAAGATGAAGAGTGTAGGGGAGGCCAGTGGTAAACAGAGGAAACAGATACAGTTTCAGGGGACGGATTTCCTATGGATATGGAGAGATACAAGCCCATTAACTAGACAATCCCAGTGAAGCGCCCTGTTAATATGAACGTGTATGAATGGTATATAGGCTCCAGCCTAGGTGTGCCCTTGAAAATATGAGAGCATGGAAGAGCCTCACATGAAGTGCTTTGTTACATCTGAATTATGCAGCTGTTAAATATTCTAATCAGATTGTAATACAGGGCTGAAAATCCAGTGACACAGGGTATACAAACTATCCCCGTGAGTAATTCCATCAAATAAACAAAATTGCTGGAAGAACAGTGTGGAAAATGGCTAATGCTGAGTTGAAACAGTAAGGATTACTCACAAGAGTAAGAGGTGCATAGGCCCTTCCTTCAGAAATACATGTATGGTCAGCTCACCCATGCTACCACTTAATGTTTCCCCAAAAGACCATATTTTCTGGATTCTTTTATATCAGAACTTTAAATTATCCACAGATATTCCATGTCTTACAGTCACCTCACAGAGATGCAGCAAGGTTTTTATACTTTCCCTATTTTATTTTTCCTCCAGTTTCCTAAATTTGTTGAGGGAAGCAGTCAGATATATTATCCAAAGCCACCAAAGATTGTGGCTCCTAACTCTACATGCAACTTACTAGAAAATAATCTCTCTTCAAGAACTGCCAATATGCTACGAAATGTAGAGAAGGCCCAGTGGATAACAACATATAACTATGATTTCACAGGTATGTATTATTTTGAACATGAACTAATAGAGATAAAGAACAAAAAATAACACAATATCAGTATTTATCCAGTGCATTTATTTTTCCATTTTTTAGTCCTATTTTAAGATTTGGGGTATTTTTAAAAAGCAGCTGTACAATAAATGTCACACAGGGTATCAGTTATTTGAGTTTTTCCATATATGTGACTAAGCATTTTTTAACCAAAGAAGAATAGAAACCAATTTTCTTTTCTTTTTAAGGTAGAGGTCCCATGAATCCCCTGGTACTGGATGATTCTGACATGAAGCTAATTGGCAGAGTGACTGGAGAATTAGAGGAAGATGTGGAACTTGTAAGTACTGCAACCACTAAAAACCTCAGCCTGCAACCAGAATTAACACCCACTAATCGGAGTAGATCCAGATATGACTTGCAGTAGTAAACACTAGCTCCAGTAATATATTTACACAAGATCAGGTTCACTCTAAATAGGAGATAAATTATTCATAAGTTAAAATCTGTGATGGTTTATTTTGTTGACAGAAGGCATTCTCTGTTGACCCCGATGATGCTCCAGATCAGCTGCAGCTCGAGCTCATTGAGCTGCATTGTGACAGCGAGTTACGCAGTCGTCACCAACAGCTCTCTCTTGTGAACTTTTACCGCCAACTGGATAAGAGCCGGTTTCAAGAGATTCGAACATTGGCTAAGAAAATGCTGAGCTTGTTTGGCTCAACATATATGTGTGAGAAGACATTCTCTGCTATGAACTTTAACAAGAACCGCGTGAGGACAAGACTAAGTGACTCTCACCTGCGTGACATTTTGCGCATCAAAACCACTGCCTTTGAACCAGACCTAGCCTATGTACTGCAGTCCAGATCTCAGTTTCACCCTTCACATTAGTTTAGGCAAGTTTTTTTTTCAATTGAGATGACTACATTGTAAAATCTCAGTTAATGTCAGTTGGTCTAAATCAGTTATAAATATATTTGGACACAACATGTATAGTTGGTGTTATGTCGTTTGCCGTTTGCAATAAACTTTGCATAAAATAGTTAATTTGCATTTAATTTTAATGGTTCAAAGAATGTCAGGCAAAATGGTCGGCCCTCACGCATGTTCACTTCATCAAATCTGGCCCTCTTTGAAAAAAGTTTGGACACCCCTGGTATATAATGTATCAAAGACATGTTCAATTACTAATTTTCTTGATTGTGATTCTATACCCAAGTTGCATTTCCTCTGTCTTTCAAAGCTTTCACCAGCACACAACAGCACTTAACAATACCTTTTGCCTCTACAAACATTAGTAATGCTACCCTGAAAATCAGAAGGGAGGTCTCTTAAGAGTGGTGCACCAGAGCAGAGGCTGAAACACATTGGGTCAGATCCTCAACTAGTGTAAATCAGAATTGCTCCATTGAAGCCATCAGCAGAGGATCTGGTCTATTGCTTTTATCAAACTCCATCTTTTTTGATAATGCATAGACATGTCTTCCATTTGGTAAAAGTCCATGTAGCATCACAGGTTAATGTCTGTCTACTAAGCAGCATTAGATGAGGTTTTTGAGAGAGCTTTCCATTACTCTTGCATGATCCATTCTGCTACATTCATGTGAGTAACTTTCCTTTTCCTTCAAAGTTCTTTGAATCTTTTTTAAAATGCAGTTCTACTCTGCAAAAGGGTAAAATGGCCTTGGGAGTTTATTGTCTCTTAATTTTAATATTAAATGTGCTCATGTTACAAGTGAAAATTTGTTTTCATAACTGCCAGCCATGCAAACTCAATATCAATCAAGCTAAATTGCTTTCTTCTCATGCATCATTATCTATAATGCATGTTCTGCAGGCCAGTTTCTGCCCTCTGTGACACCTATACAGTCCCATTGTCTTCAGTAGGTTTGCCCAGGCATAATTGATTGGAACTACGTAAATGGTTCTGTTGAAAATGCACAAGAAGGAATGGATTCCAATTCACTTCCCCACAGCTGGGCTGGTTTTGCAGTGCTAGCAAGAATAAAAAATTAATTCAAACATTATTTCTCACTAAAAGATCCAAGGTGATTTTGAATACACATAAGAGGCACCTCTGCTGAGTCAGAAGGTACAGATTTGTACAAAGTCAGATTTCAGAGTAGAAAGAGGTAATATTTTCAAAGGCACTTAATTTACTAGAACTCCATCCCATTTTTAAAAGTGACATGGTCACTAAATGAAAGTAATTTAAATATGGGATTTAAATATCTAAGTGGCTATGCCATTTTTAAAAATAGGACTTATTAATTTAGTATATATCTACACAACAGCTGGATATATAATTTCCAGGTATAGTAGATGTCCATGCACTAGTTTTTATTGAACTAGCATACCAAGGTGCAGGATGCAGGATGGATTACTCACTTGCATGCATGCTTAGGGCTCAGATGGGAAAGTATTTAGGAAGTGAAGACATATCCGTAGATCAGGGGTAGACGAAGATCTTAGTGACTGCCTGTACCTGTGGAGGTGCAGATAAATATAGTAGCAGCAGCTCACTAAAGGCTAACCCTGGTGAACCACCACTGTTTTATTGCCCACCCCTGCCTTAGATGCTTTTGAAAATGTTTACAGCTGTCCATTTCAATTAATGCAAGTGATTAACTCAAAATTAACTCAAATTTTAAAATTAATCACAATTGTTTTAATCACATTGTTAAATGATAATAGGACACCAGTTAAAATGTACTATAAATACTTAGTATGTTTTTCTACATTTTCAAATTTACTGATTTCAGTTATAACACAGAGTACAAAGTGCACAATCTCAGAAGTGTAGTCGTGTTAGTCAAGCTCACCTAGAGAAGTGGGGTTTGCCCATGAAAGCTCATGATACTGTACATATGTTTTTAGTCTCTAAGGTGCCATAGAATTACTCATTTTTTTTAAATTGCACAGTGATCATTTTACATTATTTTTACTACAGATTTTTACCCTAAAAAAAGACCCCAAAAGAAATGGTATTTTTCAGTTCAACTCTTACAAATGCTCTAGTGCAATCTTTTTATCATGAAAGTGCAACTTATAAATGTAGAATAACTATTTTACATAACTACACAAAAACAAAACAATTTAAAACTACAGAGCCAGAGATCCACTCAGTCCTACTTCTTGTTCAGCCAATTGCTAAGACAAAAAAGTTTATTTACATTTACAGGAGATAATGCTGTCTACTACTTATTTACAATATCACCTGACAGTGAAAGTAGATGCTCGCATGGCAGTCACTTAGCCAGCATTCTACGATATTTACTTGCCAGATATGCTAACATTGTTGTGCCCCTTCCTACTTCATTTTGTAGATTATCTATTTTACAGTGCAAATCTTTGTAATAAAAATAGTAATATAAAGTGAGCACTTTACACTTTGTATTCTACATTGCAATTTAAATAAATATATTTGAAAATATAAAAAAATATTTAATATATGAATAATAAATTTAAATTGGTATTCTGGTATTGTATAACAGTGAGATTAAAACTGCAATTAGTCACAATTAATTTTCTTACTCAGCTGACATCCCTAAAAAATTTACCCATAATGTAAATAGAAAAGCTGCTGAGTCTTCTCTTAAAGACGACCTGGACAAAGTAGTTTGGGCCCTTTTTCTGCTCCTTTATCATGTATGAAAAAGGCTTAAAAATGTATTTTCAAAAATTACTTCAAGTTGAGAAAATCAAATGGCAGCTCTCATTAATTCAAACACAAGTCTGTTTATCTTGCCCTCTGGCCTCAGAACTTTTGTGTGGAAAAGGTCCATCCCGGACCAGACAGCTTTGTTCCAACATGTGACGATGCAGTTGGGGTTCCCCTGACACCAAACCCTCATAGCAGCAACAACAGACTCCACCAGCCAGTAGAATAGTGGGTTTATTGCTTCTCCAAGATACAGCACAGCATAGACGTGCTATTGCTACAGGACTCTGGGCCAGGATGCCTCCGACCCCTTGAGATGGGGTCCCTGGGACCCTAGATTCCAGCCCCCTCCTTAGACTGGTTCCTTCATGATTCCAGCTCAAGACTGACCCTTTCCCCAAACACTCACTTCCCTAGTTCCCTCCTTGCCCCAACTCGTCTGACCTGTTGGGTCTTTGTCTACATGACTTAGGCAGCCCACCTGCTGGGCAGTGCTCACCGGCAGAGGCCAGTAGGGGTCATTCACAGCCCACAACCCAAGCACAGCAACCAGCAAGGTACTGACACTACATCACAACACGTGGGTGAGTCAGTGGGAATTACACCTCACCGTGCAGAGGGATCCAGAGCAGACAGCACCCCCACTACGCCACACAACAATATTATTCTATTAGCCCTTTACAATAAATAGCAGAAATAAAACATTTGAGTTATTTAAGTTTTAGACTGCAAGCTGTACCAGGTAGGGTTGCCAGGTGTCCAGTATTGACCCGGACAGTCCGGTATTTTCACCTCCTGTCTGGTAAAAAAATTCAGAAAATACCAGACACCTAAAATGTCCAGTATTTTCCAATTTTTTCCCGGCCAGGAGGCGAAAATCCTGGGTGCTTATCTGGTTCCGCAGGGGAGCTGTCTGGCCCAGAGCAAGGAGACAAGATGGTGGACGGCCGCTGGCAGCCTGTTAGGGCGAAAAAGCCTCAAAAGCATTTCTTAAAGGGGCCACACTGGTTTTGAAATTTTTTTTTGCTTAACTCACAGGGTCCTTTTTTTTTGCTCAACTATGGTCTCCTCCTTTTTTTTCTCAACAGAATTTTTTCCCTGGTGTGGTTTTTTTTTGTTTGTTTTTTTGAGAGGAAAATATGTGGATTCTAAAGTACTTGGATTCCATAAAGTATTTGGATTCCGTGCATGCCTCTTACTCCTGGAGTAAATCACGGAATGCGAGTACTTGCCCCTTGCTCCCTGATAGAGCAAGCCATGTCCTGGTATGCACAGCTGCTGCCCCCCTGCTCTCCTAAAATGTCGCCCTTGGAGATAAACTCAGCAATTAGGACCAGCAGCCACAACACTGTTCTTTCATGAAATGCCTAGGTTTAGATGCCACCCCTAATCCTATTTTTTCCTTCCACAGAAAGAATCGTTTCTGCCTAGTCTCTCACAAGTAAGGCCTTTAGAAGGGCGCATTGCACGTTTCCTTCAAGGTCGGCGACCCCATGAATCAATTTTACAAGAACAGGATTCCTCAGACATCACTGTGCCTCCAGTTTTGTACACAGTTCATGCTGTCATACCCAGTTACTCAGACATGATACTCAGCAATAGGAAAACAGCAACAAATCTGGATCGGCAATGTAAACATACAACAAATGAAGACAAGAAAAGAGAAGAGGACTCATTGCGGACTCTTCAATTGCCTGATGTATGTTACCAGAGAGGTGAGAGTCAGGAAAACAGACCTACAGTAAACAAATTTCAGAAAATCACAGATACATGGAAAACAGAAGCTTTGTATAGAAGGCAGCTTTCAGTCAGGCCTAAATCTGAACCTCCTCCTGCCCCATCATGGAATTCCCTCTACTATGAAGATTTGAAACCCAGCCATTTAGACCAATACATTGTGTGGCACAACCCTGTTAGTCTTAGTAAGCCAGGCTTACTAAAGGGTCAAATGGGGGGAGAAGGCAGCATTTTCCAAGCTGAAAACAGTGATCAAGAGGAAACCCAATATACTTTGAGTTTGGAGAGCAACCCACCCAACATAGCACTGCCTGAATGGATTCCTAATTCTGGGGTGCCTCGACCTCAGACATCATTACTTGAGCTTCAGAATTCCTTTTCTAAAACAGGAGCACACAAACGTTTTCATAATTCTATTAAAGGAGAAGTAAAAGACCTCCGGGATAATATTCATGAAGGGAGGAGGCACACATTCTATGGCTTCAATTCATTTTATTTCTATAACTGACATGTGCCTTTGTCCCTTTAAATTAAAAAAATCAGTCCCTCTCTTTGTATTTACAACATAATGCTTTCTGGCTTATATTTTGGACTCCTTTCTCTCAGTTTCACTGGTAAAGTAATGAAAAGAACATCCACAGTCTGAGACACAGGTCTGTTTAAAAATAAAGGTGATGGAATACAAAATTAAATTGTATTGAATCACCGGGGATGAACTGCTTTCACCCAATGGTTCTGAAGGAGCCCTAGAATTAATAGGGAAACCACTAAGCCAAACATGTAATTTGCCATTAAGGACAACCATCAAAGGACTGCAAGCCGCCACCATAGTAGCTGTTTTTAAAATAAGGCCTAAGGCTGATTAAGGGAATTAGCTCAGTGGTGGGAAAAACAGTTGGGAAAAGTATAAAGGACTTCAAGTTTGAGATAGAAACAGAGCAGCACTATTGTGGGAAGGCTGGCTTGTACTTCTCTACCTGTTGAGGAATCCTTAACAACATTGACAGAATAGAAGCTAATGGAAAACCACTATACAGAATGCATTTAAGCAAGCTGAATCATTTTGATAGAGCCTCTCTCCCCCTCCCAAAAAAATGAGACACTATTAAGGAAACTTAGTGTAAAGTCCTGTTGTGGGTTAAGAACTGGCCATGAAATAAGAACACAAAATGTAAGGCTAAACAGCTATTCTGACTGCCAAGAGAGGTTAATACAGGCAGTCCCCGGGTTACATGGATCCAACTTACATCGGATCCCTACTTACAAACAGGGTGAGGCAACCCCGCACTAGCTGCTTCCCCCCAGCAGACCAGGGAGATGCGAAGCTAGTGCCCCCCACCCCCACCCCCCGAGCAGACCAGGAAGACGTGGAGCGGCTTTTCTCAGCAAACACCTCAGCTTGAGAATAAAGGACTGAGGGAAGTGAGGTGTGGGAGAATAAAACTGAGCTCTGGAGATATGTTTGGCTAGAGTTTCCCCTATAATATGTACCAGTTCCGACTTACATACAAATTCAACTTAAGAACAAACATACAGTCCCTATCTTGTACGTAACCCGGGGACTGCCTGTAGTGGGATTTTTCAGTGTTGATCCTTGGGTTAAGTATGGTCCAAGTGAATTTATTAAGGAGCTAGGAGGCAGATTGGGATTAGTACAGTGCCAACATTTGGTAATGACACAACCCTATATAGGTTTTTAATTAGTTATTTAAACCCAGGATTATTAAATTAGGCCCCCAAGTGGAGGGGGAAAATGCCACAACGCTTTTTTCACTTTAGGCTGCTGAACTGTTCCACCGAAGGAGCAGGAATTGCCTCTTCGCTCCCCATAAACATACTCCCCAGATTAGCAGGATGTCAGAATCAGTGTCCCTCATAGTCCCTTCCCAACTCCCTGACTCCCTGACCTCAGTCCACGGCTCTAAGCAGCTAGAAGCTGCCCCCAGGAGTCTCCTTAGGCACTAGCTGGGCACTGAAAGATAACATAGCCAGGGACAGGGCCGGCCCACAACATTTTGGCACCTGAGGCGGGGAGCTCAAATGACGCCTCCATGCCCCTTCGCTTGGGCCAAAACTTTGAAACGCCTCAATTCTGCCTTCTTCCCATTCTACTCCTCTCATGGTACTGCTCTGCTACCTACATATGCACCAGCAGCAGACACAATTTTCTACACTCTGGGTCCTAGTGGTGCCCCCCCCACAGTCTGGCACCTGAGGCGGCCGCCTCAGTTTGCCTCATGGTAGGGCCAGCTCTGGCCAGGGATTTATAATATCTATGTGTGAGAACTCCACAGGCTGACTGGAAAAGGAATTATGCTTCCCAGTATTGTCGTCTTCCCTGAACAGATATCGAGACCGGCAGAGAGCAATCTGCCTATCTAGGTTACAGAGGAAACGATGCAATGTATCTACCTGAGCCCCCTTTGTGTGGGAGGGGGAAAAACATGCAGTGCGTTGGGTTGCCAGATAGCTGAAACAAAAATACCAAACACCTCTCTTCCCCCCCCCCAAAAAAAAACCACCGGGAAAAAATTTCGTTGAAGGAAAAAAAAGGGGGGGGGGTACCAAAGTTGTTGAGTATAATACCGGACACCTGGCAACCCTAGCAGTGCATCCTGTCTGCATGTGGACAAAATCAGGTCCTTGGTTATTAAGATGAGGGATGGTTAAATTAGGTGTTAATACTAAGGTTGAGTATGAGGACTCCTGAAGGATATAACACAGTATTAAGTAGACAACACAAAGGCATATTAAATTTAATTGAGACACATCAAGCAGACTGCAAGGTACACCTAGACGCTAATGGATTCTAAATTAGTTGTAACCTCTCATTTCAAAATCAGTAACAACTTCTACTTAATGTGCAGCAACACTCAAAAGAGATGGTAAACCACAAAGAATACAGAATGAGGTGCTAGTGTAAAAATCTTCTGTCTGCTACATAAAATGTTGTTCACCTCAGTTCATAAACAACATCTTAGAAATAAGAAAGGTCCAGAGAGAGGCAATAACTATAAGAAACTTGAGGGGGTTATTTACATACCGCGAAGATTGTAAAAGACTAAGACTATTTATTTGGAAATAGATGAACTAGTTTGTTAAGGGACATAACATGCATCATATAGAAAAGTTGTATAATGAGAAACATTACCACTCAGACATTCATATAATATAGTCTCAGTTGTATAATGAGAAACCACTGGACCTTTTGCTCAGTGAAATTAATCAGATCAAAAGAAGCACGTTATAAACGGTGTACTAATTTACTTGTTTAAAATGCTGCTCAGGATACTATTAAGGAAAAGAGCTTAGCACCATTCAAAAAAGGATTAGACACAAATTCTAGGAGCATAAGAAGAGCATCTGCAGTTCTAGTAGATTGAATAAACATTCTAAGTGATATCAACCCTTACGCTTCAGGATATAAGCTGATCAAGGGCAGATTTAAGAGCCCATGAAAGCATTCAGCATTGATCAGACAGGACTGGACCACAGATATGTTCTGGTATAGCAGTTCCCACGTTACTAGAGTCACAAGACAAAATGAGCATTAATTTTGTGGCCTTGGTATTAAAACATCACTCAAACTATCTATCAGGCAGGTAGTCTGATCTCAAATGTCTCATTATGGACAAAGGTTTAAATCCACAGCTATTTTAGGTGCCTACTTCCAGCATTTAGGTACCACTGAAATCCACCAACTTTCCCCTCTATCCACACACACTAACTAGATTTCTGCTGGTGGGCAAAAGCAAAGCTGCCGAAATCCTGACACTACCAAACTCCTTTCTGCTCAGTGCCCTGCCTCACACTTACACCCCAACAGGGTTCTCAGACTAGCTCACTTGCAGGGCCCCATCTGGTAGTCATGCTCAAACCACACATAACTTGGCCTAAAGTTAGTTGAGGGAGACCAGGTCAAGTAGTAAGAGAAAGCATGCGAGTATGCTTGCCTACAGTTAGGGTATTTACTTGGGATCTGGGAGATCCATGTTTGAATCCCCTATCTGGAGCAGGGAGCTGAAACCAACTCTCCCAATGACCCTTGTCATCTCTAGTCTGATTCTGGCCTGCATATTTATACCTGTCTCTGGAAATTTCCACTACATGCATCTGATGAAGTGAGTGTTTGCCCATGAAAGCTTATGCTCCAACACTTTGGTTAGTCTATAAGGTGCCACAGTACTCCTCGCAGCTTTTGCAGATTCAGACTAACACATCTACCCCTCTGATACTTGATACCACAAAAAGTGACTGTGCTATATGGAGATCTGTGAAGTAAGGAATCACATCTCCCTGTGAGGCAATTCCACAGCTGTCACTGCAGCCCTGAAGTTGCTATAGCTTTTGTGCTTTTCTGCAAAGAATAATGGCTTACTGATGTATTCTTATGCATCCACCATCTTACCCGGTCAGCCTGCAGCTCTAAACACCAGGGCTACATCTACACTGGCATGAATTTCCGAAAATGCATTTAACGGAAAAGTTTTCCGTTAAAAGCATTTTCGGAAAAGCACATCTAGATTGGCAGGACGCTTTTCCGAAAAAGCACTTTTTGTGGAAAAGCGTCCGTGGCCAATCTAGACACGGTTTTCCGCAAAAATGCCCCGATCGCCATTTTCACGATCGGGGCTTTTTTGCGGAAAACAGTACTATGCTGTCTACACTGGCCCTTTTGCGCAAAAGTCTTTCGGAAAAAGACTTTTGCCCGAACGGGAGCAACATAGTTTTTTCCGGAAAAGCACTGATGATTTTACACGAGATCGTCAGTGCTTTTCCGGAAATTCAAGTGGCCAGTGTAGACAGCTGGCAAGTTTTTCCGGAAAAGCAGATGATTTTCCAGAAAACTTGCCAGTCTAGACACAGCCCAGGGCACCTGCTTTTGTGTAAAAACTTGCCAGCTGTCTACACTGGACACTTGATTTTGCGCAAAAGCAGACTTTCTACTGTCCGAAATCAATGCTTCTTGCACAAATGCTTTGACGTTTCCGTTCGGGCAAAAGCCCTTTTCCGGAAATGTTTTTGCGCAAGAGGGCCAGTATAGACAGCTAAAAACTGTTTTGCACAAAAAAAGCCCCGATGGTGAAAATGGCGATCGGGGCTTTCTTGCGCAAAACCACGTCTAGATTGGCACGGACGCTTTTCTGCAAAAAAGTGCTTTTGCGGAAAAGTGTCCATGCCAATCTAGATGCTCTTTTCCGCAAATGCTTTTAACGGAAAAACTTTTCAGTTAAAAGCATTTGTGGAAAATCATGCCAGTCTAGACGTAGCCAAGGAGCCCCTATGGAGTTCTACAGGGCACAGAGTGTATGGACATCAACACAAAACCTCCAAATTCTGCACCTCCCCTCCTTCTGCAGAAGAGCAGTGCTGTTTGTGCTGGGTCCTGGCCCTCCATGATAGGAGACAGGATTTGGTCCTACACATGGCATCGGGGTTAGTTCACAGAAAATTCCAGGGTCATGGTCGGGCTTCTCTTCTTCTTAATGAATCTCACGAGTTGTAGCACCATCCTGATGCTCTTATTTAAGAAACACCTTGATGTCTTGCCTGGTTTGCTACAA